ATGGAATACAGTATGTGTAGCCTAGTTGCAAATAGTATGTAATTACTATGTTAATAAATAAGAAGATTGTCATACGCCGTGGGGAAGAAAAACCCGTGGCGTGGTCTCTATTCATAATCATAGTTGGTTTAATTTGTGTCTTCGTATTTGAATGGCTTCGTCATCGTGTAGTCGGCGCCCCCTCACATTTTATCATTAAAAAACAACGTTAATCAGATTATATACAGCGCTAAATGACTTTCTTTATAAGCGATACCAGCCAGCCAGCCATTTGTAAACAACCGATATTGCCAACCAATCGAGTCACGTGACTAATTGTGACGTCACGGCGAACATCGCTATAAAAAATGTGTTTTGTTCTTTTTTAGGGTTTCACACTGCGTAGCTTGTGTGAAACACTATTGTTTTTGTTAAAATTATTCTTATTATTATTCTTATTATTATTATTTTTTTTTTTTCTCCAATTTGATTGTATCTCAGAAACTACTTGTCGGATTGATTCGATGTCTTCGGTTTTACTGGAAAAGTGGGTGTGACTTAGAGATTAAAGCTATTTCGAACGTTCTGCGACAATGCGAAATGTCCGAAATCGTCGAATTTGTCGATTTTTGAAATATTGCCGTAATATTAACAATAATCGTCGGATTTTAACATTGGATACATTTTGACATAGCCAGAGACAAGGCACATAGCCACGGTTCTTTAGATTTTTGATTTTCCACGAATTGTCGGAGATATTAGGCGCCAAATTTTGAAAATTTAAATTTTTACAAAAAACTTTTTTATTCATGAATATTTTAATGTGGTATTTTACCCAGGGTTAAAGAGTCATCTGATTTGACCAAAAATGGCACCATTTTTTGTCATCGTAAATTTCCTTGACCCCCATTGGCTAATTCAGTTTTTCAGTCCTGGATTAATTATTTATTGCTCGATTTGTATAAAACAAAGTTCATATGCTCCGTAATCCAAAATGTCATTTTTTTTGTTACCGGTAAAGTTACCTTTCGGCAACGGAAGTGACGTAAATTTAGCAAAAACTACAATTTTTTGAAAGCAAATATTATTTTTTTCAAATCTGGTATGACTGAAAGTGTGTGCCCTGTAAAGGCGCAGAAAACATCGGGCTCAGTTTTTTTAATTTCGATTTCGTTTTCGGGTCATTTTGATTTAAAGGTGAAAAAAGGTGAAAAAATGAGCTATTTACAACCCATTCAGGCTTTTCATATTTTAAAATATTTCTTCGCAACTTTCATAAACTTGTAGCATTAATCCATACGAAGATATTGCCAACCAATCGAGTCACGTGACTAATTGTGACGTCACGGCGAACATCGCTATAAAAAATGTGTTTTGTTCTTTTTTAGGGTTTCACACTGCGTAGCTTGTGTGAAACACTATTGTTTTTGTTAAAATTATTCTTATTATTATTCTTATTATTATTATTTTTTTTTTTTCTCCAATTTGATTGTATCTCAGAAACTACTTGTCGGATTGATTCGATGTCTTCGGTTTTACTGGAAAAGTGGGTGTGACTTAGAGATTAAAGCTATTTCGAACGTTCTGCGACAATGCGAAATGTCCGAAATCGTCGAATTTGTCGATTTTTGAAATATTGCCGTAATATTAACAATAATCGTCGGATTTTAACATTGGATACATTTTGACATAGCCAGAGACAAGGCACATAGCCACGGTTCTTTAGATTTTTGATTTTCCACGAATTGTCGGAGATATTAGGCGCCAAATTTTGAAAATTTAAATTTTTACAAAAAACTTTTTTATTCATGAATATTTTAATGTGGTATTTTACCCAGGGTTAAAGAGTCATCTGATTTGACCAAAAATGGCACCATTTTTTGTCATCGTAAATTTCCTTGACCCCCATTGGCTAATTCAGTTTTTCAGTCCTGGATTAATTATTTATTGCTCGATTTGTATAAAACAAAGTTCATATGCTCCGTAATCCAAAATGTCATTTTTTTTGTTACCGGTAAAGTTACCTTTCGGCAACGGAAGTGACGTAAATTTAGCAAAAACTACAATTTTTTGAAAGCAAATATTATTTTTTTCAAATCTGGTATGACTGAAAGTGTGTGCCCTGTAAAGGCGCAGAAAACATCGGGCTCAGTTTTTTTAATTTCGATTTCGTTTTCGGGTCATTTTGATTTAAAGGTGAAAAAAGGTGAAAAAATGAGCTATTTACAACCCATTCAGGCTTTTCATATTTTAAAATATTTCTTCGCAACTTTCATAAACTTGTAGCATTAATCCATACGAAGAGAATCTATCTCAAAATTAGTTTGTAATATGAGCAGTTGCCGAGAAATGGTCAATTTTGCATGAGTCACTCTTTACGCTATTGTGTCTGTAAAAGAGTCAATTATTATTGGATTTTCATAAAAGTGACACCATTTGATGCATAATGTCAATTGTGACTAGTTCAACTCAATTTAACATTTTCCATGTCACCGGAAATGACGAAATTTGGGTAAAAACTGTATTTATAGCCTTAGAAACAAATAATTTATTGAAATGAGTCGTATTTGTTGTTTGTTGAATATTTTGATATTTGATTCTAATCAACTAATAGAATGAACCCATACGATCATATTGGTATCACAAAATGGTTTCTAACTTGTTCAGTTGTAGAGAAATAGGTAATTTTCAACAGGTCACTTTTCAAGGTTTTTTGTCCATAAAAGTGTCAATTATTATTCGATTTTCATGAAATTTTCAATATGTGATACCTAATGCCATTTACGATTTCATACAAGTAATTTAAGATTTTCATTATCACCGGAAGTAACGTCATTTTGGCAAAAACTGTATTTTTAGCTTTCAAAACAGATATTTTATTCAAATGAGTCTGAGTTGTTATGTTTTTAAAATTATGATATTTGATTCCAATCAACAAATCGAATAAACCCATACGATCATACAGATTCCAGAAAATGGTTTCTAACTTGTATGGTTGCAGAGGAATTGACGGTTTTCTACAAGTCACTTTTTAAGGTTTTTGGTCTATAAAAGTGACAATTATTATTCGATTTACATAAAATTTTCACCATGTGATGCCTTATGCCATTTCTGATTTCATAAAACTAATTAAATATTTTCATTATCACCGGAAGTACTGTACACTTACATGTAACAAATATATAAAATGAATTGATATTGCTGGATTTGGTTGATTTAGCGTCCATTTTATTTGATGTGTGCAATGATGAGGTGGAAACCTGTTTAATGGTTTCATTGGTACCGGAAGTGACATATGTTTAGGGTAACGTGGCACCGGTGAAACCCGTCATTACTGCATCGCAGTTCTAGTTTTATTTCAATTGACCATTTCCATCTGACTGCTGTCGGTACATTAAAATAATTCGGGGGGCAAGTAAACGTTGTCATTGTACTTGCCCGCAGGGCAAGTGAGTTTGAAAGTTAATGGTGCAGACTGTCTCCCTCTCTTCATTTCTTGGGTCTCAAGTCAGAACAAATATTAGCAATTTAGCGTAGCTCCTTCAGTCACTCTAGACGTGGGAATGTCGAGAGATCAGCTCTGTAATCTAAGATTATATCACCAAATCACCGTTCTTTGCCCCAGTAAATAACAATCCATCGGGTGGGCGATCAATGGATACTTACCGAAATGACAAGGAAATAGGAACGGCTCAGACAAGGAAAATTCCTTTTATAAACCAAATCGCAACTATCCAAACATTGCGCATGACATTTCATCTCGAGATTCTATTTATAATTGAAAAGGAATTCCATTCGGCTATTAATAGATTAGTTCATTTTATGGACTCAGACTAGCAATTATTTGCCCATTGGCTTCAATGTTAAATGACTGTAACATCACAGGCTGTAGATTTTTGCTCAACATTCCGTTGGTTCCAATCTTTATAGGCACAATGGGGACAACATTTGGCAATCTCCTCATCATAATTTTGTAGGGGGTTGACCGTTTAGATTTTTTGCTACACGGATTTGAAGTTGACAGGGGTGAAAATCTCACTTCCGACACAATGATTGCTCTGCAGAAAGACACTTTACACCCCCTATCCCTCCGCTGTAATATCATCAGTATTACCCAAAACTGCTATGAAATTGCAAATTTGATCCCTTTTCTCCAATTTTAGACCAAAAAGTCAACCCAAAAATGCAGGAAGAGGGGAGAAAAAAATTAAGGGAAAAATTGTCTATTTCCATCATGAAATAAGGGGAAATAATTACTAGTCTTAGTCCTTATAGCCTACGTCAAAATGTAACCATTTTTCACTCGGGTAAAACATTTCTCTTTGACGAACACAATAAAAGTTGGCAAGGTTATTTTATACTAGAGTTTGGTATGACTTATATACAATTTAGGTGCACGGATTGACGCAAATACATAGCGCGGAGTGCAATCTAGCTGCGCAGTACGACAGCGCAGATTGCAATCTGCGCGTGGGGTAAAGATTGCGTCTAACACATGTTGTTCGTCATTCGATTCGAGAGAGAGAGATACTCCAGAGTGCCTTGAGGTTTCCTTTGGCGTTCGTCACTTCCGATTCAGGAAACCTGTATTACTCATTGGCCGTGGTGTCAAATTTCTAGCTAGCTCGCTTCTGTTTCTCCGTCCCGACCATTTTCGGGTGAAAAAAAAAACTACATCAACTGGGGTATGGTAGAGGCTACTACGTTAAACCAACGTTAACAAAACTGTATATGACTATGAAACATTATCACCATTCCAATATTTGTTGAAGAAAGTGATGTTTAGAAACAAGCAGCCAAAAAAAAGAGAAAGATAATAAAATAATAGGTCTGGTTAATTTGTTTAAGGGGATCGGATCATATCTTAACATTTTCCCCATTTTCTTGCAAATGCAAGCTGATGAAAATATTCTCCTAAATGCATGACATAGCCTTTCGACCTAAATTAACAAAACTTTAAAAATCTAAAAATGTGTTAATAGTTAATATGATCCAGAGGTGTCACCATTATTGAGGTGAAATACAATGTGCAGTACTCATACCCAAGTTGTTATGGAGAGAGAGAAATGGGGTTTAACGTCCACTCGACACAAACTATGTCGTTTCGGGACTAACATATGGTTTAATTTTTTTATTTCAATAATTCGCTTCCGAGTAGGGGTCTTTAGCAGTGGGAGGAAACTAGTTACTATACTTGTAACGTTAAACTGTGTGTTTAACGTTTCAATTGATACAGTCTAAGAATCCTTACGCAAGTTCAAATAGGTTCAAACGCACAATTGTCAACACATATCATTACAGTTTGTATTGGAATAAGTAATTCTATGACAAATATTGAAGACTGGACCACTAAAATAGTTACCGAACAGTTTTTCTTTATGGTTGGCGTTCTACATTTGCATAGCGATGTTTCTTGTAATGACATATTACACAAGCCGCCATGACACCAGCCGGTTGAAATTTCGCGTAGCAGTTGGGTTTCATCAAATCATATAATTATGCGGTAAGGCTTCACCTTGATTTCAATAGGAATTGATTTATTATATGTTAAGCTAGGTGCAGTACTGTTTTGGGTCAGTTTATGTGTAAATTAAGGGAGCTATAGGCCAGTAACCTTTTTGTAGTGATTTCACTAAAAAAACTTGCGCAAAGGAACTCCTGTAGGACAAGCCACTACTGTGGCTGGAGTAAGGCGGAAGACATCAGTAGTGGAACCATTTCTAGGAGGAAACAGGAGGACCCGAGAAAACCCAACGAGGTTGGACAGGCGACCCTACTCCTTGTCTCATACAACCTGGGATTCGAAACCACGCCTGTTGACTCAATGACAGGCTTTATGATACAGTGCGCACATGCTAACAATTCGGCCATCCAACCCCCATGTATGTTATGGAGAAAATTAGAACCGAAATAGATGAGTTGGTACAAGTGCACTTACTTTTTTTGAAAAAAATATGTATGAAGAATTATTTCTGCCCTTGCATCACCAGTCAAAAAGGGGGCATATCCTGGCGCATTCCTCCCTGGTTGCCTAACTGTAGCTGTAGAAATTTAAACCCCTCTTGTTAAACTCTAAACTATACACATACTTTTTAAACTCTATTGAACAAATGACAGGGTTAGGGTGACTAGAGATCAAGCACCAAACAAACTTTTCAATGTGAATGTAAATCAAGCCGCATTACACTTTTACAGATAGATCAGTAATTGATGTACTTGTTACAAGTGAAAACTTTCTTGTATGGATTTGTGTATATTGTTCGAATATAAAAGTGACAGCCAAACATATGCTGACAGTGACATTGATTTTAATAGTGATGATGATATTGTTGAAATTATGTGAGTAGGCCTACACCTGTATACATGTATTTTTGTAAGTGGTTTTTAAATATTACATATTTTAAATATGTTTTACTTAAATGTACTGTACATGTCAATAAATTTTCATATTATATTTTGTCACTTAACGCTTACTATATGTTTTTATTTTACTTTTTTTTATTCTAATTCATTTCCGACGGTTTCTCCTTGTCAGTGGTGCAGGAGGAGGGGCTGACAAGGCGTAAGGACAGCAGTCTAGACAAGGTTGCGTGTATACATTGGTGTGCACGTAAAAAGATCCCTTGGCAGTTGTAATTCGATATAAACGTAGGCCATATAGTGCTGTGCCCAGGCAAAATTTGCCTTATAGCACACTGTATGGCGTATATGCCAATCTTCATTAGACCATTTCATTTCTAATTCATTTTACTAGAATCATTTTACTTAGGTAACTGTTTGTTTTTCTCTTATACCGGTATGTACTTTTATTTACTGGTTGGTATATATCTTTTAATTTTTTACAGTGTATATGGGCACAAGACCTGATCAGTGTGTAAATACATGTATTCTGTGAATATAAGAACCTGAACAGCACATTAGAAACCGTTCTCCAGTATTAATACACTTTAAAAAATGATGATGTTATTATTATTATTATTATATACATTTTTCATTAATACTAGTGGTGTATGGTATTGTTGTGAACGAGGAAATTTATATAATTGCATTTGTTTATTTTTTTTTAATTTCTTTCTTTAAATAAATGTAATCTTATACTCTCTTATAGGGGGTTGGGTAGCCGAATGGGTAGCATATGCGCGCTGTATCATAAGGTCTGTCATTGAGTCCACTGGCGTAGTTTAGATTCCACGGTTGTACGTGACAAGGAGAAGGGTCCTCCAGTTTCCTCCCACTGCTAAAGACCACTACACGCAAGCGAATTATTGGAATAAAATTGAACCAAAATGACCTAGTTTGTGTCGAGTGGAAGTTAAACCCCATTTCTCTCTCTCTATACTCTTATAATAAGTCTATTGTTTTCTCGTTTTAAAAAAATAGTAAAATTGATGAAGGTGAATTATTATTAATTGTATCGATAAGATTACATGGTATTTTTATTTTTGTTTTTTCTTAACATTATATATAATTAATAGACCAAACCAGTATTTCAAGCATGCCAAAATCGTTTTCATCTGTATTAAGTATATAATACTCTTGGATATTGTTTCACTGAAATAGTTTTGAAGAAATACTTGTTTCCAGAAAATAAAAGATTCATTCAATCATTGGTGCTATTTCCGAATTATTGGCCATATTTATGCCACAGATCAGGGGTAAGTCGTCTTTACCGTGTCAATGCAACATTTAACAGGTGGTATTATCCAGTAATCCCGGCATATTTGCAGAGGAATTCTCTCTGACAAATGTAAACAATCCAACGTGTTCCGTCTCATAAAATGTATTCCCTGGTCTATTTATGGCTATTGACCCTTGACCTAATGACGATCTATGCTTTTATGGTTTCTGATTGGCTTAGAATTTTATTTTTTCACCCGATTATGGCTACACTTGACAAATATATTCGAGACGTAATTCGAGTGCAAGACGTATTGTGCAATGAATCGGAACAGAAATGTATGCGACAGTGACGGCCTACTGGTTAAATTATGTAACAAAGCGTCAGATTTTCACCCAGAATTTGCTGGATCGAGATGAAACGATTTTCGGGGTTAAATCACAGCCTATCAGCTATCGTAGCAATGATCTCTGTGTTAAAATTATATTTGGAATGTGTTTAACCAGCTCTATCACATATGTGATAATGACTGGCACCAATATTGTCCTTTAACAAATATACTGTTGTCATTTTCGTCACTGAACGTGGAATTTTTATATTTGTAGATAGACAAACGGTCCGTGCAATGATTTTCCGTGTCAATTAATCTGGTTCTAATTGCGTTTGGTCCAGTACTGTCATAAGTATAAAATTAACAGATTCCTCTTGGAGAAATAACAGAGGCGGATACAGGGGGAGCCCCCCCCCCCTTATTTTCGACAGTGCCCTTTTGTTACTTCTGAAAGTGCCTTTTCTGAGACCCAAATATGCCCATTCCCAACCCGTTGCAGGGATCCCAAATGACTCAAACCATCGACTCAAACACACCAGTCTGGTCTAATTAATGCTTCCACTTTCAAACGAATTCTTGTTTTTTAGCTGACGGTGCCCTAATCCTATAGAGTGACTATAGACAGGCATCTTGTGGAATCGGCGGCGTATGCACTCATGCCCATCACCGACGCGCCTGGGTGCAACTTAATGTAGCATTGTTTCATGTGTGGACAGTACACAATACACTTTACAAGGCTTAAATAGTGAAGTGGCTAGGGAATAGATTCTTTTTTTTCCCATCATAATGCCTCGATCGCCTTGACAATTTTCGAGTCGCATGTTCAACTGACTTTTTCCCTCGATTTTAAGGCTCTTTTAAAACGATTTCCGAACGTTTACTTAGACGAAAATATCAGCCAAATAGCTCTTGGAATGGCCACAGATGCAAGGAAATGACGGATAATTTTCTTGGGGACACCCCCCCCTCTCAGCGGCATGCCCCGTCTCCGCGGTCTGTGCTTTCATTTTGCGACGCCCCCCCCCCCCCTCTTTTCAAAATTCCTAGATCCGCCCCTGAATAAAGTCATCGAAAATTGTTTTCCTTTCGATCCTTTAGTTATTTTTTATGTTAATAAATGCCTAATTAATAGTTTATCTAACATGCCAGGCCTAAAGAAAGACCTGCAATGGGCAGATTTAATCTTGCATAGTGTATGTTTAATTAACCACTGTCAAGTAAAACTATTTTTATACGCCCAAATTTCCATGTGGACGTATATTGTCGTCGCCACTGTACGCGAATGGTGTAAAAAAATATGGTATATCAAGATTGTGGACCCTGTAGAGGTCACAATTTTAATCTGATTTTGATGAAACTTAAAATGCATGTTAATAACCCAAAGATCGTGGTTCCTTTCGATATTTGCGCATATCGGATCGTAAATTCCTGAATTATGGCCCCTGATTTTACGAAAAATCGCGTTTTTAGCTTGTTTACCCTATAGAGGTCATAATTTTTATCCTATTTAAAAAGCCGTTTTAATATATCGCCGTTACACCCTAAGGATGGTTGAGTTCGAATTTCGTGAAAATCGGACCAAATCTGACAGACAAAATGGTCGCCCCTTGTACTCAAATAGCGTAAAAAATATGGTATATCAAGGTTGTAGACCCTCTAGAGGTGACAAAGATCTTGGTTACTTTCGATATTCGCGCATATCGGATTGTAACTTCCTGAATTATGGCCCCTGATTGTACGAAAAATCGCGTTTTTAGCTTGAGGTCCCGCAAGAGGTCACAATTATTAACCGATTTAAAAAAACGTTTGAAGATATCACTTTTACACCCTAAGGGTGGTTGAGTTCGAATTTCGTGAAAATCGGACCAAATCTGACGGACAAAATGGCCGCCCCTCGTACTCAAATAGCGTAAAAATAAGGTATATCAAGGTTGTGGACCCTCTAGAGGTGACAATTTTCTTCTGATTTTGATGAAATTTGAAATGTAAGTTTATAACCCAAAGATCTTGGTTCCTTTCGATATTTCCGCATATCGGATCGTAACTTCCTGAATTATGGCCCCTGATTGTTCGATTGTTTAGCTTGTTCTCTATCCATCCCTTGCAAAATGTGGGCGTATCTTGTCTGGCAGCCGCTGGTTAGCTTTTAACACACGACCAGCTAAAAGTTTTAAGCGTACTATCTTTTATTTACAAATGACAATCCTCCTAACTCGGTAGCAGAAGGCGTTTAAAATAAAATTATTGAAGGGGTTTATAAATTTGTGACGTACCATGGATGAACGGATACCGGAGATGTATAATACGCAAACGTAATATAATTCATAATTGAGCCAAAACCTCATATAGTACATAATGTACATATACATCTGGTGTGTATAAGTAATTCCGGATGGCTATTGACAGTTTCAGAGTCACTTCTCTGCAGGTAGGGTGGGTCTGTCGTTCAGTTGACGCTCGATTGTAGTCTCTAGAAATTATTTACAATGCATTTGTTTTACCCGTATTTGACTACTCTGACCAGGGTAGACTAATCGCCGGAAATCACCGGAATTACTTATAAACACCAGAATTCACTTACAATTCACAGGAATCCACTTTGAAGATATCAGAATTCGCCCGCAAGATCTTCCTATTTACTTATATTTTACATTAATATTAATATTGAATTACTTTGAAAACATATAAACACCGGAATTCACTTTCAGAATATAGGAATTCGCACTTGAAGGCCTTCATATTTTCCAATAGTTTGGATTAACAATAATCGGAGAGAATCGAAACTGGTCCCCAAGAAAATTGTATTTACTTATATTTTGCATGAATATTAATACTAGAATACTAGAATGTATCTGTTGTAAGAAATTAAAAGAAATAAAAAAAAATGCCATAAAAACATGTCAAGAACTCGATCATTAATACGTCGAGCGAGGCTGTTAAAACGATATTTCCAGATGGTCAACTCGTGAAAGACAATATGATTAGAACGCAGCAGCATCTCATGTAAAATGTCAAACCAAACATTTCTCGAGTGTGGAGGAAAAACGTTCTCAGTGTAGATGAGCTAGGTCTATTCGAATCTTAGCTCGGTAATAATAAGCCAATCAAATAAAGTCTCATACTGATTATTCCTTAAATCCACACCTGATGTGTTGACGTGTTTAGTAGTTATTTTAATAATTAATCTGCAGTGGATATGAAGTTCAGATTTATGTTTAACCTGTTTGTTGTTGATTGTCTCTAATCAGACAGGTAATTACCACATTACGCACAAAATACAGAGAAGCATTGAACTAAAGTGATTGAACTAATGATTTTATGGCATCTGTGGTGATGATGTTTCTAATACGTCGTTGATTAATCTGAGTCTCTAAGGTAAGACATGAATCAAGGACCACGCCAAGATCCTTAATTGTACGAGAAACTTGAATGGTGAAATCCCAAATGGTTACACTTGTTTGGGATAGTTCCTGTAATCCTTTCTTTGTTCCAAAAATGATTGCTTCTATCTTGTCATCATATCATTTTAGTCGTTTTGCGGCCATCCAGAATTTTATATCTTGAGAACATAAATTTATGGTATGAAGAGCAGAGGTGATCTGATTTATCTTGAAGGATGGCACAAGTTGTGTATCATCAGCGTATGAAAGGTGGCTGACTTAACATCATTTATTATAACCTGTTGACGGTGGTTTTCAAGTTTAGACATAATCCAAGTATGTGCACTTCCTGTTATTAGGAATTAATTTCTGAGGCGACTGCCGAAATGCCCAATAGAATTAGTGCCGTTACATAACCCATATCCACAGAAGATCTAGTGGCGTTTAAAATTCTTAAAAGAGTGGTTTCTGTGCTATGTGATGGACTGTAGGCTGACTGAAACTTGTCCCAAAGATTGTTGATCGTAATGTATGATCGCAATCTATTGTTAACAGCTTTCTCAACCATTGTAGTTAAGAAAGACAGGTTTGACACAAGCCGAAAATTTTTCAGTATGTTTCTATCCAAGGTTTCTTCTTTTAGTTGTGAGCGCATACTGGCTTGTTTGAAAGAACTTTGGAAAACACCATTTGAAAGACTGTTATTGATGGCACATGTTATAACCGGGGCGAGAAATCCAAATAATCAAAAACAATAGTGGTTGGAATGGGATCGAGTCATCTTCGAGTTTTCTGACCTTATCCGCACTAAAGGATTCGAAACTGAGGTGGTTTCCAGGCAATCCCAGCCTATTACATGACTAACTGGATCGACAGCAGATGACGGTTGCGATGTGAATACCGTCACATTAGATCAGGGGCGCACTTAAATATTTTTTTAGGGGGGGGGGGTGTTTAGCAAAAATGCGACCGACTGATGCACATGTCCCTAATATTACGAGTGACGCAGTCAGGGGCCGAGCACCACAGATGATAGTTTTCTAGGGGCCAGTAGCTAATCTGGGAATAGGGGGTGGGGTAGAACATAGATCGTATTGCCTATATTTGTTCGCCGATCGTTATCTCGTCGGAAAGCAGTTTTATTCAAGTTGACATAATTATGAAGT